TATTGGATATACCATGGACTGCCAGAAGAACCAACACATCTGTTTTGGAAGAAGTACAGATCCTCAGAAGTGAGGATAGTGAGACTTCATCTCACCTCCTTTGGACATGTTATCAAAAGGGACCAGTCCCTTCTGGTAAAGTAGAGGGTCACGAGAAGGACATCACACCTGGTAAAGCAGAGGGTCACGAAATAAAGGAAGACCATCAATGAGATGGATAGACACCATGGTTGCAACATGGACTGAAACACAGTAACAAATATGTAGATGCTGTAGGACCAGGCAGTGTTTTGTTCTGTTGTATAGGCAGTCACTATGAGTTGAAACCAATTTGATGGCACCTAACAACAACACAATGATGGTTTGTGATTAAAAAAAAAAAAAGATGAAATTCAAAAATCAACAAATGCTGGTGAGGATGTGGGGAAATTGGGACCCTTATCCATTGCTGGTTGTTGTTGTTGTTGTTGTTGTCAGGTGCCATCGAGTCGGAACCGACTCATAGCGACCCCATGCATAGCAGAACATAATAATGTCCGATCCTGGGCCAATCTCACTACTGCTGCCACACTTGAGTCCATCAATGATGCCACCTGGCTGATCCATCTTGTTGGGGGTCTTCCTCTTTTTCTCTGACCCTCCACCTTACCCAGCATGACGTCCTTCTCCAGCGACTGTTCTCTCCGGACAATGTGTCCAAAGTAGGAGAGACGAAGCCAAGCCATCTTGGCCTCCAAGGAGCACTCTGGTTGTACTTCTTCCAAAACAGATCTATTGGTTCTTTTGGCAGTCCATGGCACTTTTCAGTATTCTCCTCCAACAAAATAGTACAGTTGTAGAAAATAGAATGGTGGTTTCTCAAAAACCTAAAAACAGAACTACCTTATGACCCAGAAATTCTACTCCTAGTTGTATACCCAAAGATTTGATAACAAAGACTTATACTGAAATGTTCACTGCAGAACTCTTCACAATAGCCAAAGGGTAGAAATAACCTAAATGCTCATCAACAGAAGAATGAATAAACAAAATGTGGTGCATACATACAAAGAAATACTTGTCAGCTAGTAGGAGATGTGAAGTCATGATACATGCTATAACAGGGATGAAGCTGGAAGACATAAAGCTGCACAAACTAAGTCCATCACAAAAGGACAAATATGAGTATTATGAGTTCACTTATATAAAAAGACAAGACAAAACAAATGTATACAGAACAAAGATTATTAGTGGTGACAAGGAAAAGGGCTGAAGAGGTTAACAATAATAAAGTTGATTAAGAGTAGGGTTGCACAGCCAATTATTGTAATTGCTGTTAACAAGTTGTGCACCTATAAAAAGTTATATTGCCAAAAATTGTGTGCTATATATTTAACTTTCCAAAAGTTCATGGAAAAATTCCATGATATTTTTCTGCTGTTTTTAATATCTTTGTTTTTTTAACTATTTATTGTGGATTGGATGAAGGTTTACAAAGTAAAGCAGATTGCTTTTAATTCAACAATTCATACACATTTTGTTTCATCTCATTAATTGCAATCCCCACAGTATAACATCACTTATCTCACTCTTTCCTTTTTCCATGTCTCCTTCTTTCTTAACTTTTCTGAGCTTTGTCCTTGGGTAAATGCTGTCCTTGTGATCTCAAATGACTGATTATTCTAAGGTGTGCATACTTCATTAGTGTCATTGTTTCTCTTTTAGGTCTATTATTTTACCATTATCTTTAACCCCATTTTACCATGAACTTTTTGAAGCCCCTTCATATTTATAACAAGACAAAACAACAATAACAATAAAGAGTAGAAGCTGAGGCTGTTAATGTATAATCAAACACCTCATAGGCTTTGGTTTGGGATCATGGTAACAACTGACCTAATAGTATTTTTTTTTTTGGTTTCCATATTTTAGTTTATTTGTAATTTATTATTTTTTTTTACTCTTCTGAGTAAACACATACTGATCTTGACCCCAATTACCCTGTGAACTGACAGCATTCTCTCCTTGCATGAAGACTGTGGTGTGTTGTCTCTTCTCTGTGCTGCCCAGTCAGGAAAGCGCTGGAATTCTCTCTCCACAATTAGGCTTTTAAACACTCTTTTCCTTAATACTATTTTTAGTGCCTCTGTTCTACCTCCTAATTCAATCAGCAGTGCCTGGGTCTTAAAGCTTGCAATTTACCATCCAAGGCACAAATATTGGTCTCCATTTTCTAGGAACAATAGAGGGAGAAGAAAGATGAGGAATAGGAGGATATAAAATATGTGACTAATTTCCTTCATGAACAACTGCCTCCTTGTCATGAGACTAGAAGAATTGGATGATGCCTAACTAACTACTACCATAGAACATTTTGATCAAGGATCCCATAGAAGAATCCTTCAAAAGGATTCAAAATTCTTCAAAAGATGTGAAATACAGAACAGAATTTAAAATTTTCATGGACTCCAGACTTCTAAGAGTCATAAAGGTTAGATGTACCCCTCAGTCTACTGCCATGAGATAACCTTGAATCCTTAAATCAAAATATCCCCTGAAGTCATCTTGAGAATAAACAATAGTTTATTTTAGCTGGTAAAAAAAAGTCTGCCTTGATCATTATGCTCTTTTAAAATCTAATTGGAATCAAACTGACAACAGCAACACAAAAGATTAGATAGGAAACTTGGGTTGTACTGAATTTATATTAAAGGAGGAGGAGCAACCTGAAAAGGAGGCTCAGAATGGTTGCACTATTCCATACATCTGATCAACGTCACTAAATGATGCTTGTAGAAACTGTTGAGTTAGTGTGTGTTTTCTGCACATATTCTCAACAACAACAAGCAAAGAAATAACATTACTTTAAAAAGGAAAGACAGGCTGGTGGATCAGCTCTGTTATAAAGCAGTCTAAGCCTTTCCAATATTGTATAGGAAGTTTAGAATGGATGCTCCTCTCCTTTGGTTTGTAGATTGTTGGACATTTGAACTCATCCAGCGGTGTCTCCAGTAGACAGGCCTAGGGGTCTGCATCTGAAAGGCCACAGTCTTGAAAACCCTACTGGGAAGACCTTGTCTGCACACATGGAGTCACCATGGGCCCAAATGGACAAGATGGGAGTTCATGAACAACAAAACTAAGCAAAGCTGTTTAATGCATGCATTCTCACTGGTCCTCTGGCTCTTTCATTTTTTAGGAATAAAAAAGTCCATGATAACTTTCAGATTCTGAAAAGAGAGAGAAAGGAAGAGCAGCAAGATTTTGGGAGAATGTAAAGTATTCTCAGCACTGCAGGCTAACCCTGGTTTGTGTCCTTCATCATGGCAGCAACTCTTGTCTAGAAAAACAAAAACAAAAACAAAAAAAACCTGGTCTGCTTTTCAATAGACTTACTGCTTTTGCCTCAGCAGAGCTATGATTCCTTTATCAGCTCCTGGGAGGAAACAGGAGACAGAGACTTAAGGACTGGATGTCCATCTCCTTGTTCTTCATTCTTCAGGCAGGCAGATGATGGGAGTCTGGCTCCAAGCAAAGGGATATTTTCAGAGACTGAGGTGTTGCCTGAAACAATTAGTCGGAGAAGTTAAGAAAGAAAGGAAAGAGGGAAATCCAGAACCAACTTCTATGACTGGTCGCTGCTTCCCTAGAAGACTGTACATTGATTGACATCCCTTCCCCTTTTCTCCAACCTGTCCCCATTAGCTCTTTTAGGACCCCAAAATTGACCTTTCATAGTAAGCGGTCAGAATGTTTTCACACTTGGGAAATCTCATTCAAGAATTTTTGTCAATGAACAAGTCATAAGGAGCCCTTCCATTTTAGGACTCGTTGACGTCACCAAGGAGGCGATAAATATCTGTTGGTATAATTGGATGTGCGATTCAGTGTTGAGATAAGAAAACTTTGCCCCATGCAGGGCCCTATGATTTATGCAAGAGCAGAGGCAGCACGCAATCGAGCTGTCAAGAGAGCGTCAGCTTATTAGGCAAATGCTGCGTGGTTTCTGAAGAGGGTCGACTATAAAATCCCACTCCAGACTCTGGTGTGGAGAAACTCACAGCCCAAGTGCAGAGAGAGACTGAAGAGAGAGACGAGAGAAAGAAAAAGAGAGTGGGAACAGAAAGAATAAGGAAAGAATCCCTCCTGGGGAAAAAAACAAAAACAAAAACAAAAAACAACAAGAGACGTCCTTCTGCAGATAGGCGGCAGCTGCCTGGCTCACCTACAGAAGCGCCTAAGAAGGTAGGGAACACCTAGACCCAAACGCGCCAGCAACTTTGTGCTCCTGAGCTGCCGCGGCAGCGTGCGCGGCAGAGTCAGCTGTCTCTGTGCGGGCATGTGTGTATGTGCGTGTGCGTGTGTGTTTTCTCTGACTGTGCCTTCAGGATTAGTAGAGTAGCTGAGATGTAGCAAAAACAAAGTTAGACGGCTGCTTGTCTTTACCTGAACTGTCAGTTGCTGCTCGCTGTGTTCACCAGCTTACAATTGACCCCTGACTCTCTTGAGATGGAGGAAAGGGTAGGGATGCAGGGAGAGAAGGATGTAGTTCTCAATTTGAGGGAAAATACTGAAACGTTCAGAAAAGGGGGGTCGGAGAGGGTGAAATCTTAAATCTCTAGTGCACAGGGAATAAATAAGTTCTGGGGATTCCTAGGAAGAGGACGCGGGAACCGTCTCTTCGGGGTTTACAGAAGGAGGAGGACGTGTATGAACCCTGCAGGAGCCCGTTTCTTGCTCCTTGTAGGATCCCAACCCCAGAAGAATTCTTTCTTGCTTCCCGTAACACCCAAACCCCGCTTCCCCCGACACCCCAGCCTCACAAGAGCTAGACCAGGAACTTCAGTACCGCGGACAGCGCCCGCCCTCGTCCCCAAGACAGCCATAGACTGGCAAGTTTATGCGTGTCGAGTGGGACTAGGCATCCCGAGTACTTCTCCTAATTGATCTCAACTCTAATCAACTCTTTTTTTTCCCTCTTCTCTCATTCCGTCCTCTGTGCTGCAGCTAGCGTCCTTAATATGCGGTTGCCTCTGCTCGTGTCCGCAGGCGTCCTGCTGGTGGCTCTGCTGCCCTATCCACCATGCAAAGCCTTCCTCAGTCGGGGTCCCACCCAGGGCGCCCGGCAGGCTCCGCAACAACACCAACCCCTGGATTTCTTCCAGCCGCCGCCTCAGCCCCAGCCACCTCAGCAGCCGCAGCCTCCTCGACCTACCCTGCTCCGCATGGGGGAAGAATACTTCCTTCGCCTGGGGAACCTCAACAAAAGCCCCGCTGCTCCCTTCTTGCCCGCCTCCTCATCTTTTGCTGGCAGCAGCCGCCACTCGCCAGACGAGGCAGCCGCCAACTTTTTCCGCGTGTTGTTGCAGCAGTGGCCGCTGCCCCAGCGCTCAATCGACAGCCCCCCGGGTCCCTCGGAGCGCGGCGCTGAGAACGCCCTCGGTGTCCACCAGGAGGCACCGGAGAGGAAGAGGCGGTCGGAAGAGCCTCCCATTTCTCTGGATCTCACCTTCCACCTCCTCCGAGAAGTCTTGGAAATGGCCAGGGCTGAGCAGTTAGCTCAACAAGCTCACAGCAACAGGAAACTGATGGAAATTATTGGCAAGTGAAACGGTGCGTGTAGTCACAGAGATTCTGCATTTAACACAAAATTTAAAAATAAATAAATACAGCATTCTGTACCATAACGCTGCTCTGATACCATTTGTTTATTTTTATATAGCTTGAAATGTAGAGGATGTATAGTGAGAGATCCTATAACCATTAGTTAGCATGCACCAAGTGTAATCACATGCAGTAACAATGAAAGAATTGCTATTTGTATTGTCTACTTTTAGTTTCCACTTCCAGGTATCTTTAGTGGTGTTTAAGGAGACTGTAGATACGGGAGGAAACATTTTGGAGAAACAGACAGAAGCCACTCAGTTATCTTTGTGGTCATTTGAGCTAAAGAGAACGCGATTCTCCTGGGTGGGTGGATGATGTAAAATCTGTAAGCGCTTTTGAATCAAATTTTTCTTGTAAACGTCTCAGTAATAAAACAGCTTTCCAATTCTTGGTCGATTTGGTTGTGTAAGAGAATGTTGAATATTTATATTTTTAATAAAATTTGCAAAGGTAATCATGACTTCATTTTTCCTCTTAAATGCTCAGACATGGAAAATCCTCATCTCCTAGCTTTCTCCAAACTGTCTTAAGCACAGGAAAGAAAGATTTTTAAAAAGCAAAACAAAACACAAAACAAATAAAAAACTGAACAAAACCCCCAAACAAAAACAAATCTCCCTGCAATTCTTTTTTTTTTTTTTTTTACTAAAGACACAGACATACTCACACATTCCTGTATTCACCCTGGGTTCAATTCCTTCGAGACTGAGTTGATTTCCTTGCTTCTAGCTCTAAGACTTGGTCATTCCATAAATAAAAGATTGCTTCATAACAGAAATCACATTTAAATCTGATTAGCTATAAGTTGTAAAATAATTGAAAGGAGAGACGAATTACTGAGGCTGGTTATTCAAAATTCATGGCCAAAATGCCATATTTTTTTTTCTTTGAGATTTAATCACTTTATCAAGATTCTACTACTTAGACATTATAAAATATTTTTTTCCTGAACTATTTCCCAATGCTGACAGCACTTAAAAACAACTACTTGCAATGTGGAGTCCTGGTATAATGCTGTAGGATAAGCACTGGACCACAAGTTTGGCTTGAACGGTCAGTGGTTCAAGCTCACCAGTCACTCAGAAACACTCGACAGCAGTTAGCAATAACAAACTTACAATATGAGAAACTTGATGCTATCTTCATGTAAAACAATTAAACTCAGTTGCTATAAAATGGTACTTGTGAAAATTTTTCCTGTAAAGGCCATTTTGACTTTTATAAATTAATGTATACCCTTCAAATTTGGGTCTATGCCAACCTAATCACTTGAATTCTTAGTAATATAAGGTATTGGCTTCTAAAATTGAATAGTACATCTATTAAGTTTTAGAGTTCACCTTTGGTAACTTAGTTATAGCTTAAAAATTCAATCAAATGTTTAATACTTCAAAACTAAATTGAAAAAGAGAAACAATTTGGATGTATGAAGACACTTCTTCACCTGGGACACTTTAAATACATCTGATTTCTAGATTCATAAGAAAATATGAAACACCAAATGAACCACTGTAAGGCTACACTTTTAAAAACAGCATTTATTTAAGAGTTCATACAGAGTAGAGTTTATACTTATGCTTTGAAGGAGGCATTGTGTGAGGACAAATTAAGTGTGACAAATATATTATGTGCATGCAGGGTTGTTGTGTGTATATATACACAGTCATATATTTTTAAATATATGCAGTTGTTCTACAATTCCCCACATTGGTGTCTCCGTGGATACATGAAAAAGTAGATCTGTTTCCACCAAAAGGTCTTTTTCAATAAAAGTACCTGGTATCTGAATACCTAAAACTGAGATTAAAGAAAAAAGTGTTATAAGCGATGTCCTAGACCCTCACCTTCCTGACTGTGAACATGTCAGGAAATTCAAAGAACATTTCTGAATGTTCCTCTATTATGAAAAAGAGGAAACATCTGTGAAACATTTCATACATTTGGTCAATGATTTACCTTTTTTCCACATACCAGCCACTTCTGAATTAACACTGGATTTCACTATCCACCTGCATTGTGCAAGAGGGAAGGGACAAAGAACTACTGTGATGTAATAACAAAAAGCCAGTGCCTATTGGAGTGTGGTGGCTCTGTAAGATAAGTACTGGACTGTGAGCTACAAGGTCAGCAGTTTGAACCCACCAGCCTTTTCTTAGGAGAAAGAGGAGGCTTTCTGCTGCTACAAAGATCTACAGCCTAGGAAACACTACACAGGGCCACTATGAATTGAAATCAACTTAACTGCACTTAACAATAACAACAGTAGAGACAAGGGGGCCATGTCCTTTTTTTCAACACCTGCCACTTGCTACTGGTGCACGCACATACATAACATACCTATTCACCCTTCATAATGTTTCCTGCACAATAGAAGATTTGCATAAGATCAAATTTCTTTTTTCCAATGCCTTCTGCAACTATTTTTTCAAGGCATTAGATAAGTCATCTGGAATTAAGTTTTGCACTTTTTTTGATTGTCTGTTTGCAGAAATCCTGTTCAGAGGTCCCTTTTATCATCTGCATCATATTCATTTCATCTGGGTTCCCTGCTGTCTGTGTGCATCTGAGCCAGGCAGACAGGAGCAGCAGTTGGAATGAACATCATTCATTCAGGGAGTTCAACCAGGAAAAGGAGAAAACGTGTCGAGCTGGCTCAGAATCAGGACTACCACTGCTCCCTGAAGCTGCAGCTTGTCCCTGGAAAGGAGGGGCTTCAACTCCAATCTGCAACAAAAGAAAAGAGGAATTAAAGGAAGAGGTGTTAACCCTTTGGGCCTTGGTCCAGCCACTTGTCTACTAAAGAGGAAGGCTAGTAATAATAATTATATGGCACATAATCATTATCAGGGACAAAAAGCAAGCTGGGTGATCTTGGCAATAGACAAAAGCCATGAAAGGAATTCACACTCATGATACAAAAAGGGGCAAGAATATTGCATGCAGTGGAGGGAAGTTCTTGGAAAAAAGACTCCAACCTATTCCGCTTTCTAATTTTCTTTAAAAAATCCACTTGTACGTGATTTATTGAGACCAATAATGTGTTGAAATGAAAAGGAGTTTGGGTTTAGAAAAGCCAGCAGAATAAAAAATAAAATCCTAATTAAAATGACACGGACTCACAATAATACTCTAGAATATATTGATATAATCTTTTCTCCACTGCTGAAGTGAGACATGTCTACCAAAAAGTGGAAATTTATGTACATATGTAGGGATTCCTGGTGTGGCACTGTGGGTTAATATGCTGGACTGGGTTTTCAAAGACTGGCTGGTGAGCTTGCACGCCAACAATATGTTTCAAACCAACTTTGCAGTCCAGTGCGTTAACTTACAACACCATGCCAGGACTCTCTCTCTCTCTGTGTGTGTGTGTGTGGTGGTTGTGTGCTCTGGAGTCAGTTTTGACTTATAGTGACCCTGTATACGGTTTCTGAGGCTCTGGTAGCATAGTGGTTATGAATCAGGCTGTGAACCTCAAGGTCAGCAGTTCGAAACTACCAGCTGTTCTGCGGAAGAAAGATGAGGCTTTCTGCTCCTGTAAAGATTTACAGCCTCAGAAACAC